GCTTTGCTAAGCTTGTTCTAAGTAGATGCTTTAGACCACTGAGCCATCTCACCAGCCCTAAACTTACTTTGTACCCCAACCTGGCCTTGAACGTGCATCAATCCTCCCACCTCAGCCTCTGGAGCGCTGGGGTTACAGGTGTGCACCACCACACCCAGTGTATCCTCATTTTTCAGAAGAAGAAATGGATGCATCCATAGATCAGGCAAGTTCTCTTAAGGTAACACAGCTGACAGGTAATAAAGATTTCAAACCAAATCCATCTGACCTCAGACCCTGCATATTTAACCTAGGAGTATGAGCTTTAATTGGGAAATGAGCAAATGGTTAAGAAACTCTGAAAGCCATTTTAAATGCGACCCCAAACCCCAAAGAGGGAGTGGCATTAGGGAGGTGTATGGTGTGGGGTGGGGGCAGAAGTGTGTGGAGGTTGGAGATTGGGCTGCAAAATTCCTGCCTGAATTTGGAGTCTGTTTACTATTAATTGTGGAGGTCAGGGAGATAGCTCAGTGGAATAAGTGCTGGCTGGCAAGCACAAAGTCCTGAGTTCCATTCCTGGTGCCACCACACACACACACACAAAAAAAAAAGTACTAATTTTGGGCCTCCCCACAGCCCATCACTAACACAATCTGAAACCTACCGTGCAACCCCCTGCTTTCCTAATGATCCCACCTTTGCCTTCTAAATTATTCTCACACAGCAGCTATGCTTCTGCCAGTGGCCTCTGTCCTCTGCTGCGTCTATCCTTTCGTGAACAAACCTCTTTTGTCACTAGCTGTTCTTTAAGAACTCATTCCACTTTTCTGAGCAGTTAGCCAAGTGTCTGGTGCAAGTTCGCAGCCCTTTCATTCAAGAATCACTTATTCAAAGCCCCCTTTCCTGGATCCTACTGCCTTTTTTTTTTAAGGTATTTTTTTTATTTTTATTTTATTATTATTATTTTTTTTTACATTTATTTATTGTGTGTGTGTGTGTGTGTGTGTGTGTGTGTGTGGCCAGCTCAACCCACCAGGGGGCGGGGCTGGCTGGCATGTGCTGCTGGGGGATTGAACCGTGGTCCCTGTGCTTTGCCAAGCTTGTTCTAAGTAGATGCTTTAGACCACTGAGCCATCTCTCCAGCCCTTTTTGTTTGTTTTTATTATGGAACGCTTCAAGAACTTGCATGTCCTCCTTGCGCAGGGGCCATGCTCATCTTCTCCGTACCCCATTTTAGTATATGTGCTGCCTAGCAAGCACCCTCCCGCCCTCTTTTTTTTTTTTAATTTATCTGACTTTATTGGTATATTTTTGATACACACAATGATCACATTCATCATAGAGAAATTGTACCTATACATCTTTATCTCATTCCTCTATCCTTTTAACTCCTTCCCTCTCACAAAATCTGTGCTTCTACTTTTTACTTTTCCTTTCTCCCTCCCTCATTTCCCACTTCATTTAAACATTTTCTTATTTCACAATAATTGTTACAGATTTTGATTCTTATTTACAGTTTTGGTTTCTCACACCAGAGAAAGTGTGGTATTTACATGTGTGTTCAATTTATTTCACTTAAGAGTAGGGTCTCGAGGTACATCTGTTACCTTGAACTGTTTTGAGCTTATCCTTATGTCAGAGTAGAAA